ATATTTATCACGATAATTATTTTTATTACTTTTTATAATACTTGCGATCTAAATACAGACATGAACACGAACACGACACGTAGACACGACATTTCTAAAAAAAATAGGATAAAGGCATATTGGGGATACGTTATAGATAATTGTATTTTATATATAAAATCATATAATTTAATGATATATTATTTATAGAAAATTCAATACTTCATGATAAATAAATGTTATGTTAACTATCTAATGTAAAATTTTAAACAAACGTCATAATGGTTAAATAATAATCAATTTTTTGTAGAGGTATACTAAATATATGTAATTTTAAATAATTGTTCTTATTTTTTCGATTATTCTTTTTTAAAACTTTAACTTATCTTTTTGCTATCGTTATTATATTTTGAACTATAACATCTGTAGTCTTGGTAAATGTATGTTCTTTCATAATTTAAAATATTTATTGGTAGTTAAGTTTTTAAATTTTATTAATCATATGTCAATACACGTTTATTGTTTAGTAGTAGACACAGTCTAAAAAAGCGTCTCCGATATCAATAAAAAAGCTTCGGAAGTATTGGACACTTGTCCGAAATTAAAATTTTATCATTTAATTATGAACACAAATAAAAAAATATCAAACACGAGTGTCTGACAAATGTCGACATATAACACATGCCCAATATAGTTACGCTATTTGTCACACTCCCACCCCGGATCACATTGGGTGGGCGACGAACTGGTCACCAAGGCTTTAACCAACCAACCCTGTACATCATAAATACAAAATACAACAGAAGACAAATAATGAAATAATTCATTCCACCGACCTAATGAATACCAGAGGAATAAATTAAACTTCACTAATGTCATTATTAAACTCATGTAAAATAATAATTATACCATAAGGTTCACTGCTCTAAGCATATAGCAACATTATTTTCAAAACAATTGAATATTTGTCTCAAAACTATAAAAAAATATTTATTCCTTAAAACCTACAATAAAATAAATTTTTAATTTTTCTAATCTCTTATCTACCCGGGGATTTATTCCTCTCCCTGATCCTCACTTGAAAAATGTTAAATGTTTGGCTGAGCACAATGGTACGTGAATAGTAACCACTTTTAATGAGCTGTGAAAATAAATCTTACAATTTATATGCAAAAATAAACTTTGATACATATAAGTGCAATAAATTGTACCCCAACCCCTCTCACATAACCCTTAAAAAAATGATCTCAGGATCTCAAATAACTTTATAAATGACAAGATATTTATAACTCAAAGCACCACTCATTTTCACAAATAATTTTACAAATAAAAAGACATTTATAACCCAAAACATTCACACACACATTCAGCCTCAAATACATTTATCAAATCATGTTTGTTACCACTAGCCTGGTAACAGACTCTGTCTCTTGTTATCACTAGTCTGGTAACTGGCCCCGTTTATTGTTACCACTAGTTTGGTAACCGCCCTCATCTCTTGTCATCACTACCGATATACAATCTCGTTACCACTCAGACCTGATAACTCAGTCCCCATATAATAAACATGATTTTCATACACACCAAAACTGTAGTTTTAATCTCAACGCACACAAAATTTTCCTTTCATCACTAAAGCAATGATATAAAATCATCTCACAAGTTTTCCAAATTTTACATGTATAACAGTTTATAATTTCAAAACATTTAATTACAACCCCAAACATCAATACATATATCATATATATGAAAAATTTACATGCACGCACCCCCACATTTAGTATAGAAAATCCTATCAAAAGAAATAGTAAACTACTCACCTTGATTCTCAAAATTCAATTCAAAGCCCTCTTTCTCAAGCTTAATGCAATCAACACCTAATTCAAAATAACATATAACGATCAATTATTATTCCTACCTTCGTCATTCTGCGATATTATATTTATTTTACATACTTTCTACCCATTGATATATACTTAATATATCATTTATATATAAATATCATTTCTAATACGAGATAATAGGGTATAGAAGTATTTTGAGCTGTTTAGAATTTTTTTAAAAAGTTTTGGGGTCAAATCATAATTTTTGAAACTTTTAGGGTCAAAGTATAATTTTCTTGAAAAAAGAATTTTTTATTTTCGGGCCTACCATAAATTTTCTAAAATTCTATTTTTCTAACTTACCAAGTAAAACAATGGTTAAAATTAAGTTTAGAAGAATATAGGGATCAAAGTAAAATTTTTTGAAACTAAAGTGAGCTTTCTGTAATTTCTAAAATCCATCCTCTACATCCACCGAAAGTTGAACGTTCTGCAACTTTTCTTCCTTCTTCCCCTTTGTTTTTTTTTTTTTTGCTTTTTAAGACATTAAATAATTTTTTTAAAAGCCTCAAAAATAATAAATTTCTGCTAAGTCTAATACCATGTAATTGAATAAATTACAAAATTCACCAAATAATTAATGAATTTATACCTTCAATGAGTCCAATCCATTTTTTTGTTTTTGTCTCTTTCGTTCTTCTTTCTTCCTTAATCTTCTTTGTTCATTGGGCAATCTCTTCATAAGTCTTCTCACCAATAAAAAACCCTATAAACGTAAATACATTTATATATATATATACGAAGTATTTGACATATCTAAAAATACTATCCTATTTAAACCACATGGATAATAGTCCTAACAAGTTTTTATAATTATTTGATATTTCCTCCTACACCAAAAAAAATTAAATTATTTTCACTGATTTTCCAATCATATCCATAAGTCAAAGAAAAGTTTAAAATTTCTCAAATTCAACTTATTTACTTTTATTTTTATTATTAATATTGTTATTTCAATTTTTTTTTTTACCTCCGGTATTACACTATCTTTTTGAGAGTGCCTGTATTTCATTAGCTTGCGATCGATTTAAATATATAAACAAATAATAAATCATCGTCACTTCACGCGATGCTATTAGTACAATGATACGATGGCATATGCATAACGTGTTGGTTTTGGGAGAGAAACAAGAGAGGATTGTCCTTATTATTATATCAACGTACTGGCAGGAGAGATGACATCGTCCTTCCTAAATATGTGGAGGAGATACAGCGAGAAGAGAGGGAGGGGCCTGGCTCCTCTGCTGTTAGCAAAAAAACAGCACAAATGAAACGCAACGTTTCATCCATTTAAAGTGATTTTATATTATATTTTCAAATTGAACATTACATAATATTATATTTTTAAATTGAACATTGTAATAATTTGTGTCCACCTAGATTAATCTTCTTCCTGATCTGGTCAAAGGTTGATCATCCAAGAGAAGACTAGGATATTCATGAAGATAAATCTCTTATTGTCTGGCGTCAAGAGATTACCAACATTTTTACTTAGGATGTTTGTATTTATAGTTCGTCTCTTTACTCCTTGAGATACCCCTTATGGTTTTTAGTGGTTTTATTTGATATTGGGAAGTGTATTGATTGAATAGTTTGACATTGGGGACCATAAAAAAAAATGTTTTGGAGTAGGAATTTTTTTTTTTTGATGAATTTTTTTATCATTTGATCAAAGAAAATGAAAATTGGATTAATTAAGAATTTATTGTGTTTTTATAAGTTAAGAATTAAATCCAGATCAAAGTATTTTAATCAGATTTAAATTCGGCTCAATCGAAAATAAATTCAAATCTGATCGGACGGCTCTGGTTGTAGGTAACAGGCTTGGCCAGTGTAACCCAGCCGGACCCGAGCATGACAGTTTGGTTTTGTTGTGTGTTTGTGCAGTAGGATGCCACGTGGTGTGATCTTTCTTTGACTATCGAACTCAATAAAAATAAAGGAAAGGATAAAAATAGGGACAACATTGGGACCCACCTTATACCGTGTATTGTGAAAAAAACATCAACAAGCAGAAAAAAGAAAAAGTTACAAAACGCTGCCGTTTTGGAGAACGACAGACACTGCTGTTCTTGGAGAAAAGCAGAGGAGCCGGATCCAGAGAGGGAGACAAGGCAAGGCAAGGCGAGGCGAGGGGACCAGCCAGCCAGTAATAGGAGTAGGTGAGAAAAAGGATGGAGGACGGCTGGGCCAAATCAATAAATGAGCTTATTATATGAAGGCACGTGTTATGTTTTTATTTAAAAACATATTTTTTAAAAATCTATTTTAAAAATAAACTTCTCATTTTTAAAAATATAATTTTATCATAAAAAATTATAATTTTTGATATAATATCAAAATATATATTTTTTTAATACCGTAAACTTTTCACTTCAAAAGAGTTGCGTATCTATTCATATTAGCAGTGATTTTGGAATTTTTTTTTTTTTATATTATGATTTTTTATTTTGTTATTGTTTATGGAAGAACGTTATAGAATATGAATCTTAACACAACGATAATATATTGTGACCATTGCATTAGTAATTCGAAAATTACTTACATTGATCTTTCGTAAATTTCACAATAAGAGAAGTCTCATGCATTGTATCACTATTTTTATATATGAAAACAACCCATTTTAATATACCCGATAAATTAAATAAATAAGTTAAAATCCACGCTATGAATAGAATAAAGTAAAAAAAAAATAAAAACATAGTAGGATTGCATTGACTGAAAGATTGTGTCAATTACTGTAACCGTAGAAAAAGAATTACCTTCAATAAACATACATGTCTATACATTTTCCATTACACGATTTGTCCACCATCTCTAAAAGAGGAATCGAGATACTCTCTATTATGCTTTTACTCTATTTCACATAATAGTATATCATCTATTATGTATAAATGAAAGACTCACTTATAAATAACAGGTCTCAGTTGTATTAACGGAAAATGATCTATCATTGAATGAAATTGTGAAGAAACGTAATAGAAAAGATTTCAATGCACGAGAGATTTCAACCTCCATATGTTACCTTGCTGCATTTTTCTGCTTTCAGATAATCCCCCTCTCAATGATAATTGTAAACTACTCTAGAACAAATAGGCAACTGATCTGGAATTACACGAGGATGGGAATTTCTGATGGCTAGACACGACAGACCTTAGCCAAATAATCACATCCGCCATAGACTTCTAATCCGGGTTGGTCAAGTTCATCTTCTTTGAAGCAAGCACAGCGCTTGCTCATTTTCCCGGTCAGAGCTATTTCTAGCGGCCGCTGCACTAACCTTGGAAAGCCGTCATCACACCAAACCTGAAAAAATATAGCAATTAGATACTATCATTTTTTGCAGATGCCCAAATGCACTGCTGCTGATATTTTACTCGTCTAAAGTATGTGCTTTAACACTGGATTCAAAAACTTGCATAATTAAACAGGTCGGGTTACTGTCAGAAAATATGACACGAATAATTAGATGAGTTGGGTTTGGTTAGGGATGAATGGTACTCAATACTAAACCTAAATGGCACGACCTAAACACGATTCTAATGTTAACCCTAAAGTATTAAGATATAAACCACCAAATAAAAGTAGGATTTAACTTGAATGGAAGTAGTTTAGAAACTGTTGTAGCGACAAGAGAAAAAGGGTTTGACACAATTTAATGGCCTCCTTTCGGAAGTGACCTGGGCACTAAAGTCATAGTGGTACCTCTGAACCATCTTCCTGACTCCACTTTGAGTTGCAGCTAGGTAGTTTGGCTTCTTCCTTCTTCTGTTTCTCCATTAGCTGTGCACCTCTAGCCGCCTTTGCTTCAATCCCTTTCAAGTATTTTGTGGGATTGCCTTCACTATCGTAGTAGCGTCCCACTAGCTTACCAACATATCTGACAATCATCAGTCAAGACCAAGTTAATTTCAAGCATTTTGCATTAGTATACAACTCACCTCAACTTAATAAAATCTTATCCCACCTATTACATGAATCTTGTTTCTCTATTATGCTCCATCAAGGGTCCTATTGTCTGTTAAACCACAAGATTTAATATCATATTTTTTTGAATATCTCAGTCAAAGTTAATTTCGATTTACATCTACCTCTTGCATTAACATCGATATCGTATCACATCATCCTTTCTCAATGATGCACTAGTAGATTTCTATAAACATGTCCAAACCATCTATGTCCAATCTCTTAATTTATCTCCTCTAGGTTTTACTTCTATAATTACACAATATACCCATTTTCAACTTTATGCTTTCTAAGTTTACCTTACATCTATTGGAATAAAACCTTTCAGGCACACTTAAGTTTTAAACATGCTTCTTAGTTTTTCATTTCATTGTTGGTCTAATGGTTGTCTTGTACAACTTGCCTTTCAGCTTAAGAAGTAACTGCTGATCCCAAACTACACCCAAAGCAAATTTTCATGTAATCCATCCTTCTGTCTTTGTGCAAGAGTATCAAAAATAAAAATACCAGTACTTGAGATGACTGAATTGACACCCGTAATCTACACGCAAGAAATAAAGAGCTAGTCGAATCATTAGCTACCAACAATAAAACAGAATTCTTAGTCATCTACACATTGGGGTTCCAACAGCAAATTCTAAATGTCAAAACATACAAATTGTGCACCAGATGGCCGAAATGTTATGGCCCTTGGGCCACCCATTCTCAATTATGCTGCTCTCTTTTGTCTACCTCTTTGATGTGATAACCATCCTACTATTTACATGGCAATCAGAGAGCCTTTTTTATCCATTACCTTTTTTTTTCCTTTTTCGCCTTTGAAAGAATGTAAAAGCTCAAGCATGCACGTACATCAATGTGGTTTATTTATTTTATGATTTGCGAGTAAACAAAAATCTTATGAAGCACCAACACTCTATATTGGCTTAAATATCAGTATCCAATAGATCTAGGACATGGACACGTTCGAACATGTTCCCAAACATGTCATACCCCAAATAAAGTGTTCTTTTGAAGACAAGTAACCACTTTACAAATACATTCTACCAACCATCCTTAAATCAAAAAAAAAAAGTAAGACTCTGATTGTCAAAAAAACGCAATCAGAGGTCCACTTTAGTAAGACATTCTACCAACCATCCAAAGAATCTGGTGGATTTTAAGAAAAAAAAGGAATTTGCAGGTAAAGACAGTATGTAAGAACGGTCAGCTCTGGTGCAGTGAAGCTTTGGCAGTGGTGCCATGAGTCCAATGCTATTAAAAGTTGAGTGTCGTTTTTGGGAGGGTGGATAGTAGTCGAAGGGTTTCCGTTCCATTTGTGGCAATGCGAAGTCTTTAAGAAGATTGGAGATCATTGTGGGGGGTTTATAGAAGTTAATTGGCCAACTGAAAATCTCGAATATTTGTTTGAGGCTCGAATTCGTGTTCACAAGCCTAAATCGGGTCTGAAGACATTTTTCAAGGTTGATTTTAAAAGTTGATTGTCATTTTTGGGAAGGTGGATAGCAGTCAAAGGTTACTGTTCCATTTGTGGCAAAGTAAAGTCTTTAAGAAGATTGGAGATAAAGGACGAAGATGGTGCAAAAGGGCTGGAAGGATTACGTGGCAATAGGAGAGAATGGAGTGTAGTGGGGTTGGCTGCAGTGAAGGGTAATAATAAATCTACAGATTTGGTGGTGGCTGAGGATATATCTAATCACAAAATTATTGCCCCAAATCTTCTTGTTTACCGAGAAAAGGGAATTGTGAAGGATAATTTAAATTTTAAAAATGGATTGAAGTTGGAAACTGGTGTAATTAAGACTAATTTATTGGAGTTGGATTGCAGTATAGGTCAAATGAATATGGGTTTCTTAACAACAGATTCTGATAAGGGTTGAAAATGGCAAAGAGAATTTAGAGGCCCAGTAGGCTGAAGGTGGTGGAGAGAGGTATTGGGCCGGTCAAGGTGGGCCCTTTTAAACCAAAGAATCTAGTGGATTTTAAGAAAGAAATGAATTTGGCCCAGACCCCTTCTTCTGTCAGTGGGAAATCGACGAATACAAGCTCTAGAGGCCAATCATCCACAGACAGCTTTCAGAATGGGTTACATAATTAGCCACATGTTGGGATATTTTAACTGGCCCAGCTTCTTTGATTTAAGCGGCCAACATCTAGAACATCAGCTGACTTAGAAGTCATACCCACAGACTGGGCCTCAGCCTCACCCCATAAAGAAGAGAGCTTGTCTGTGACACTTGAACTTGTACCACTGAGATCACAATAGAGCAATCTTACTGCTTGACCAAGACCCACCCACCGTCAACATGTGGAAACACATCAATTGAAAAATTAACTGGCAAGTAAATAAAATAAACCTCAATCAAATATTAGCAAATCTATCATGAATACTTTGCCTATGGAAAGATCTCACTAGGAATGCAGAAAGCAATAGAAGCTGCATGGAATAAACTTTTTAGCTATGACATAATCTTTCCAATCTTAACTTACAACTCCACAGTATGGTTCCCTTCCCAAAACTAGAGTACGAAACAAGATAGACAAGTGAACGAAGTAAGACTCACAAGTATGTTTTGAAATAGAAATCTCGCCATTCAACAATGCTCTTCACCTGCAACAATCGATGGTACAACATGAAACTTCACACAACAACAAAAATCAAGCACGATGAATGCACCAAAACTTTTGTGTAGCCTATTCTAAGCAGTTTGGATACAGATGGTTCCTCTTCTTTCTTGCTCTTTCCCGGGCTTCAATGTTGGTGGGGGTTGAAAATATCACATCTAGAAGTATGACTTATGGAATTGCATCAAAGAGAAGGCGAGACAATCCACACCAAGAGACTAGGCACAGAATAAATAAAAAATGGGCCTCTAAAAAGTAAAAGTCTTTGCAAACTTCACATAGGATTAAATAACACCAATTGCTTGGCAAAAGATAGGCCTTTGGACCATCTCAATAACATAGTAAAGTCAAAACCATCAAGATTGCCTCAGTCAAATAAATAAAATAGAAGTAATACCTATAGCTTAAAGATCGAACAATCAAGGGTTTGCCATGCAACAATGTGCAACAGGAGAAATTGTTTATACATACAAACGATAAATGTAAGCAATATATCAATTACCTCTGTGCTGGACAAACCAAGCAATGAGTCGGTAAGTCCATCTCCTGTATTATAAAAGGATAAAAATGGCTTTATTAAAGAGAAAACAAAGCTGAAATATATCAATCTCGGCACAACAACCACTAAATAACAGTAGTGATATAAAATTCATATACGACAGTATTAGAAATTATTCATTTTATTCCTATTCTTCCGAAACAAAAAAAAAAAGGGCTTCAGAAGCCATGCACCATGATGTTTCATTATAAAAAAAGTTTGAGCAAGTCCCATGAGTTTAACATCAGTATCTAGTTTCTGCTCAAGTTTATGCTTTCTCATTTTTGTCTAAATTTACGAATTGAAAGCTAAGTTCCTAACATAAGACTGTAACCTACAACAAAGTGAAGCCATTATAGGAAATCCACCATTTAGCTTCTTATCTACAAGATGTTCTCACAGGAACATGCCCTTCCAATGGTCCATGGTTTCAAATATTTTTGGGAATAGTAGATACATTTCTTCTTTGTTGGGGGGCCAGGATTCCACGAGATTGTGCAGCAAATGATATCCTTTGCTTTCTCTGAAAGGAAGAATGATGGGGCCTTTAAGTTGAAAGTCCAGGTTGCTTTTGTGGAGCTTTAGGCATCACAGGAATTTATAGTTTGTCATATCTTAAAGGGTTATTTTGTTGCCATCATGTACCTGTAGTTGCCTGTTAAGACTTTAATTGTCAACTAGCTCTTCTCTCTACTTTATTATGAAGGATCCTAGAATTACCTCCAGTCTTTAATTCCTTATTTCACTTAAACACAACTTGGCAATCCCTCCTACACATTGTTATTGTCAAAAAGGATACGATGATAAGATAGAAGGGCAGAAAACGAGAGAGATGAGGAAAACATATGAAGTGAGCGAAACTGTAATAGGTCTGCCTCATCATGTATGTGCTGCTTACTTCGATATATCACTCAAGAGTTCAAGTTCTTCCACAAAGAACAAAGCTTGCACCAAATTCTTGAAATATAGATAATTGTATGTATTAGTGCAGAAAAAGAATACTAAACGAAGAGTAGAAAGAGAATACAAACGAGAAAGATGAAAAAACATCCACTTACCAAAAGGGAGCCCCAAGTTGAGAATTTTGATTATCTCCCACCTCATCACCCTTTTAAGCCCATCAATTGAACTTTCAAATATGCTTATATTTTCAATCTTAGACAAGCCTAACATAATAACCACACATGGTAGCATTGCCCAAAGCAAAAACAAAAAAAAAAGAACTTACATAAATTCCAAATCTAGACTAATGCAGTGGTAGAAATCTCTGTAAGAACTTCAATAAGAATGATAAAAAAGAAAAGAATTGTAAATAAATAACCTCCAAGTATAATTTTTTTTGAAAAAAAAAACCCACCAAAAATGCTTGATTCAGGCCTCATTACGCGCTGTATGCAACAATCTTGATCAATGGTTTTGACGGAACATTGTACTGTAGCAAACCAAAATTACGTAGACCTTCTAGATTTTGCATAACTGAAAAAATTTGGACTCAACAAATTCCATATAAGCCCCCACACATTTGCAATTTTTTTTTTCAACAGAAAACAAGGGAATATTACTGAAGTAAATAAAACAAGTAAAAGACAAAAAAGTACATGAAAGGACAAGGAGTCCTCTGAAGGTACATAAAGAAAGAAAAAAGAAAAACGTAAACAAAAGAAAAATAAAGCTATGGAGCAATTGTGTGGGATCACTATTCACACACTTCAGAGTTCAGCCCAACGATCTTTAATCAAAAGTAATGAAATCCTTTCGAAATCCATGGATGTTGATACCCGAAGAGATGCCACAAAAGAGATTTTATCTAATATCTTCGCAAGGAACCTCTTTATCGTAAAAAATTCATCCATTTCTTTCCAACCAAACCATCCACACCACACTGCTCCAAAGAGCCTTGGCTTTTGAACCAAAGCCTTCAAAATTCAAACTCAAGACCCAATCAATTCCTAGGAACCACCCATGGAATCCCAACTATTCCCAAAAGTCCAATTCACAAATTCAAGACAAAGGTGCAATGAAGAAACATATATAAACTTTTCCTTCTTTTTTGCCCCACACTTCCTTCTTTCGACCCCATTAAACAGCATTAAGGTTCTTCCTTGTTAGTGATTTGTGTGAGGCACTGTTTTGTGGGTAATTCTCATTTTTAATTTATTTCTTAAAGTTTTACACTCTTATTCCCTAATTTTTTTTTTTTGGGGGGGTGGGGGGGTGTGCACTGTCTTCCTAACAATGAGAAACTAAAACAATTATTTAAGTTCTCAACCAAGTTTACCTGTAAAATTTCCTGAAACAAATGCACGTGAAGCATCCCTGAAATTAGCAAACATGTGATTGAAATGGTAAGTAAGCCGATGGTTCAATCTTAGGTGATGGCTCAATCTAAATGCAATAGTATTGAAGCTAGTTGTTGAAGTTAAGGCCATCTGAAGTCAGTATAGTTGTACTTGCAAACCCACAAAGTAATGAAGCAATAACGAACTTACCAAAAACTTACTAACTACTTGTGCTTTAAAAAGATAGGGAAGTCTTCACAACAGCTTCAATGCACAATCGACTATGCAAATAGACAAAGTTCAATGCTAAAGGCACACAATATCAATTCCAACTTGTTGCTTTTGAATGCTCACCCTATCATAACAACTTGACAGTATTACAGATTTTTGAAATGAATGTGTCCATCCTAGAAGAGAGCCTCTATCAATATTGCAATCTATGAAATTGAAGATCAAGTCAAGCTGGAGTCAAATATGGTCAACTCAAGAAGAATCCAACTACACATCTAGCTTAGGCTAGCCAATCATCCAACTGGAATTCAACACAAACAACATCAGTTATTAGAAAGATGTTATTAAACCCTTTAAAACCACACCATGTCATGTTGTTTTATTGCTTTTACAAAATTTCAGAATTTATTATCACGTGAATATATTTTAAATTAAATATCTTTTTCACGTTAACCAAATAGTCGTGTATGAAACTTCAATTCTACATTTACGATACGATTTATTACTGACATTTTATGCTAGGTAGTGTGAGATAGTTTAGCAAAATAGCTATTTCCATTAACTATTACAAAAACAGATATTACTAAACAGGTATTGACTTGGTTATAGAAAAATGCCACCTGACCTCCCTGCTTAAGTCTGACTATACAGATATATGAATAGAAGATGAGAATACCAACCTCCAATGAATGAGATGAGATACTCATCTTTTTGAGGTACCACTTTTCAACTGGCATTGTTCTTATTAGTACAATATCTTAAGCAAGGAATAAAATGGAAGCCGAGATGGAACGCACATTCCCTCATCCCACCATAACGTATAGCATTAGGAGTGGTAATTTAAGAAAGGTGCAACATCTCATGGAATTATGCGACCTAACCATGGATATGAAAATCTAATTATAGTATGAGAATAAAAGTAATGCAGTCCATAAAATCTGCTCCGGCAAAAGTCTACATGCAACAAGAAACATAAACTTGAAAGCTTCAGATCCTAATGAAGCAAATGGGGGAGGGCATATATCGCAAAGATTAAAATAAGCAGAAATTTCAGAGAAAATGATGCGCCAGGCGCAGCACTTGAATGATCCGACTGAACCTGAAGTGTCGGAAGCTTCATATCATTAAATAGAACAATAATCCAACACAAAACAGATATAACTGAAGTTATCTCACAAGGATCGAGTGCTGTACTCTGATCCTGAAAGGAGGAAACATGGATGAGTCCAGAACTCTTCTGAACAGAACTGCAGAAGAAACTGCATCCTTTTGCTAGCCTTGCGCACATTCAGCAATGACAGAGGAATCAATAGGCTCCGCGGAGTTGAAACCTCAAATCCCTGGCCTACATCTTGAACTCTAAAATGGTTTGAGAATTTTTTTTGGCTCTGTCCAGAACTGTAAGTAGAGAATAACAGCAGCTTCGGCTACCCTGAAACAGAGAGATTAGTAACTCTATGAGGTGAATCCTCAAAACCTAAGCCTCCAAAACTTACAAACCCTAGCTGGTTTAGGAGTTGTGCCTCTCTGAAAGAATCCTCCTTTTTAAACTCTTGAAAACTGCTAGAAAAGAGATGGCCACTTATGTTTACACTAACCCTAAGCTTCTAAAGGAAGCCACTAAAATATGTGCACATAAAACGCCAGAATTGACACCACTATTACTCGGTACGCCAAAAAACCAGCCTCCTTGACTTTCAGCACGTCACCTATCTCATTTCAAGAAACCCTCTCATCTTCAACCTTTTGTAGGGTTGGACAAAAATTCCATGTTACCTCGTTGCCGATACATCATAGAATGCCTGGAGAACCACGAGCCCAACCTCAATATTACTTTGATTCTGATGACGAACACTTCCCCTAAAAATTCCACTCACAGGGAAATTGGAAGACAACTACAATCATGCCCTCCAACTCTGATTTTTGCCTGAAACAAGGTAGACATAAACATATTATATGCACGAATCTCGATATACCCTCCACAATAAGCACCAATCTTTCTAAATACCCCTTCATCCCAAAAAAATGGAATGGCAATCGTTCAATAGCAATACAACACCCTAAAAAAATACCATCTCCCTTCTATTATTGGCAGTCGGCACCCACTTTGTATGTATCTATAATTCTCCTTCCAAGAAACACCACTCAATGTTACATACCTGTTCAACTTGCGAAACGTTCTCACATATAAAAAAACCTAGTCCATTTGTGAAGGTTCCAAAATAATTCTGAAGTTCAATTTCTTCGACGTAGCAACTTGAATGGACCAACATGAATCAAAAATACCCTATCTTGTACATACTACTGCCTTACTCCATTTTTCATAAACAAATGGGCCTGCCTCTGGTATTGAATCAATTCCAAAACCTACAAGTAATTTCCCTGCACCCCTGTTTGCATTCCTCAAGCTACTTCCATGATTTTTTAACATCATCTGTCATTTCCAACTTAAGTTCCCCTGCATCACCATAACAAATGTGATGGCCAATTCTTTCCATCTGTTGTGCTTCAGTCCTTGACGAATCACAATAAACCTTCTTTGCCCCCTGCCGTGAACATGGAAATTGTTAAGAACACACCTCTACTGTTTCAGCTTGTTTCTACCCAGATTTTATTGTTGTTGCTGCAATACTGTCTGAAGAAAAAATCAAGTTCCAGTCGATTTGCAACTTCTTCAATCACATGTTGCAGCCATTTCAACCCACTTGCATCTATTGAAATTGAGAAACTGGCATGCGTGCTTCTCACAATAATTCTATAGCATTGTGCCGTGTTATCATCATCCACCTCAATCAATATCTTCTTTTTTTTAATCCTAACTTCACCAACATTCTGATGTGCCTTGCTCATAGTTTTACCGATTAAATCAACAAGATTAAAGGAATAATCAAAATTTCCTCATTGTCTGTTTGTCACAAAGATGCTTCTCACTGCAAAGGATAAGCTTCTATATTGCTTACACCATCATGCTCTAACATAAGTTTCAACATAAATTTCTTCTTCCTATTGCCATAAAAGAATAACCATATTTCAAAATCAGAAAGCATTCTCCCTATTCTTAAGTACATCTACACCTTTTAGGTTATCTGGAATGAATGGAATGACTAATGTGATGGGAAACCACCACGAATAGAAATCTCCTTAGGCTTCCCTATCCGTATGGCCACCCAATACATGACAACCCCACAACAAAGAGAAAGTAAAATCATGTTTTGTACCGCAATCACTTTGCAATGTCTAAGTAAAATGTGAAACATGTCCATGAATATCACAAATGCGTAGACTCTTTAAAAAGCCCAATTGAAAAGTTGCAAAGGCTTCTTGAAGAAACAATCACCTGACTACCTCTGTTGAACCGAATGAACTAATAAATCTTGGATTCCTTATCTCTTGTATGCTCAAAAGATAAGAGACATCTTGAGACTAATATCTAAACATCGAATTTCATTCAACCCGTGGTTGACTTAGAGACGTCTCAAACGACTCAACCAATCCTTCTACATCATCATCATTGATGAAGCGTATCGCTCGTTACTGTTTTGCAATACCAATAAATGGTCTAAATCCCTTGTCATACCAAACTCCTATCTAGCAATTTTTGCTTTTTGCCAAATAATATTTCGTGACACTGCAATCAATGTATCTCAATGGCCTCTAAGTCGAAGACTAATGCTAAAATCTTGAACCATATTCTGAACAATCCCAAAAAAGTTTTAGAGGAGGAGTACAAACACCCCAGAGTCAGAGAAATTGACATACTCAAAAAGGTCCTTCCAACATCTCCACAAGTTGTACCACAATTCCATCACAGTAAAGTTCCTTCATCCTTAGCTACCCATTCCCTACCACTACTATGATTGCTAGTTACCCACCACAAACTATCCTTTCTTAGGAAAACCTCCAAAGCTATTGGCCAAAAACCACTTGACTAAAGGTTCTCAAATTCCTAATCATCAATCCACCGTTTCACAGCCAGAGCACATCACCTCCGAATCAACCATAAGGTTCTCTGTTAGATTTTTTAAACAAAGTAACGGTAATTGTTTCTCACAAAAGGAACTAGGACCCACCATATGTCGCTAGTCTATGAAAAATATATGTTCAAATGAAATTGATCTCACTTAATCCATAATATATTTTTCCTATGAGATATATTGCTACCTGCATAACCTCTTATAACTTTTTTAGCATTCTATCCACAAAATTGAATGGTTGCATAATTTATGGCCCTTAATCATCACAAGTCTCCCAATCTTACAGAATAAAAAAGCTTCATAGACTTATCCTCACAATGAAATCTTAGGAGACAAGTGATGTCACAGGGGATTCCTTAGAGGTCAACATAAAGAGTTTGTCGCCTCATATCAACATTGTCCAATATTTGGAGGGTATATGTCTTGGAAAGTACAGCGAGAAATTTGAAGGCGTGGCTTTGCCATTTGGGCTTGAATTCTCATCAGTTGAACTTAATAATAAAAACTTGTCTATTGTAGTTCATCTGTACTGCTAGATACAAACACACAACCTTAAGCCAAGGTAATGGTTGGAAGCAACAGTTAGAATCACTGAAATGTATATACCACGTTTAACAAGAATGAAAGAAGTGAAACAAGAGAACGAACCTTCCAGCAAAATGATTGTAGCCCCCTCCCGCACCATAATGACTTTTTCCTTTAGTAACATCAAACACTGAGCTAATATTCAACCCGTAAAACAAAAACAAGTGGATACTAGTTAATTAAGGATCAAAACTGATCAAAGAAATCACGATATACATTTGATTTGACTACCTGGTAACCATATGAAGAAAAGAGGTTCAAAGGGTCATCATCCATTTTGATGCTCATTGATCAATGATGATGGAGGGGTGAACCAAACCAATTTTTATTCAAAGGCAATACCAGTCAATGGCCTTCCTACCGACCAAAGAACCAGATTTTTGCTTATTTTCGTCACAATGTTTTCTCACAAAATCAGATATATATATATATATAGAGAGAGAGAGAGAGAGTACCCAAGAATTCCTAAAAGAATGGGCAATCCATCATCCGTTCCATTGTAAAGTGACAATTCTTGTACAGTGAATATTCTCTGGCAACATTGAAAAGCAATCTATTAACAATAAGCTTTTAACTTCAATGCGTAGAACGAAATATGAAAGAGTGAGAAACAAAGAGAAAGAGCAAACCGGTGGTGGAGGAGGACGGGGCTTGAGAGGGTAAAATGTGAAGAAGAGGGAAGAGAAAAGAGCCACCGAGACGGCGATCCCAAGAAATGGTGACCAACCCATTAACGCATTGGCCGCCGCTTATCAGAAACTCCACTCTCAGTGATCGGCGACGGTGATCTTCACTACAAGGGTTGAGTTATAGATTGCATGGA